GATGAAATTCGGTACATTTGTGTACATGTCGATTTCCGGTGTTATGAGACGATTTACGCCGATGTATGATAATTGTTGATTTGTGTATATCGGTTAACTATATTAAAGATATTGATTTTATTTGAAAGATTTACTTATATATCGTTTTTATAGTTATTTTAATTTATTTATTTATTATTATTTATTTTCTTTATTTGTACTATTTATATGTAAACAATTTTATTGAATTTAATTAGAAGCTATTGTGGGAAAATTAGCTCAATAGTAATTAACTGTCTAAAATTATCATTTGTACTTTATTAAAAGTGGCTTATAATCGTATTGTAATCGTATTGATATATTACGAAATCAATAACTCATCAATAGACATCTATAGATTAGATTTTGCCTTGATGACAGGAAAAAGAGATGACAGCTAGATAAAATAAGATATAAATATACCTTCTGCCAACTCTTTGATAGAATAGTTACGATATAGCTATTTTTCTGTAGTTATTTGTCGCTAAATATCTTTAAAATATATTTTCCATCCCTTTCTGTCACTTTTTATCGCTTTGCTGTAAAGATCCGAATTTACACCTGTTTAATAAAATCGTTATATTTGGTCAATATTACACGTTGTTTCTAACAGTCATATAACAGTTGTTGTTATAACCATTGCGTATTTCCATTTATCGTATTTTATAGTGTTTACCTTGACGATTCTTAACGAACAATACCGGAAGTACCTTGGATAGGTAGTATTGAGTAAGAATTTTGTTGGTATTCGTGTAGTTATACGATATAAGTTATCCGCCATTCGTCCCTTAATTACCGTCATTATTCGGTAACACCATCTCATCTGGTAGAATAGAATATCTTATTCGTGATAAAAGTGATGGATGTATCCATATATCATCACCTTCTAACATCTCATCAAATATTTCTACTAGCTCTTCTAATCCAGATACTAATATACTTTCTTTGCTAAATTCGGAATCTAAAGCTTTTAAATATGCTATATCTAAATACCACATTATTTCCTTTACCCATTCTTCTATGTTGAGTTCAAACTGACCTAGTATACGTCTTATTAGTGATGGTCTGTATTGTGACATCTTGTAAACCTTTTATATATGAATCTTTTATTCAATTACATTTTTTCTCGGTATAAAGGTAATTACTTGCCTTGCTATTCCGCTCTATTGACTTCATGGCTGGTTTTCTGGATGGGTTAATATTTCCTTACCTTTTTTGGCTCTGTTGGCTTTGAAATCCTATTTCTTGTTTGGTTGGGGGTAAGTAGGTGAAAATATTAATAAACAATTTAGATTATGAAATAAGTAGGATATAAGTGAATTAAATTATGAGATAAGTAAGATATAAGTAGGTAAAAATATAAAAAAGGTGATTTAGTTATAAAATATGTAGCATATAAGTAGGTGAAAATATTAATAAACGGTTTAGATTATAAGATAAGTAGGTGAGCCAGAATTGGGGTTTTCATACTACTGGCAGACGGTTTTTCAGGAACTGGGTCTGCGGTTGTAGAATCTGAGTCTGATAACAAGTCGTCTAAGACGTCATAGTCATCTGGTTCAGGCAGATGGTTTTTCTTCCCTTAACTCTTGTAGACATTCTTTTAAGTAATCAGGCTTGGGTGGAAGCGGTGGAGGAGCCCTTTTGGAAACCAGTTGCTCTTCGATAACAGGTTCGGGTTTTTTCTCAGTGGATTTCTCGGCAACTAACTCTTCTTCTTCTACTGGTGCTTCCTGTACGTCTTGTACATCTTGGATTACTTTACTAAAATTCTCCACGATTTTTGCTTTATCTAGTATGTAATAGTTTATTCGGGTACCTGAGCAGCTTACACGTATTTTAGGGGCGAATTGCTTAATCTCCATACCGAATTTATTGTCACTTAGTGTTTTGTTTTCACCCTTCTCACTGCACCAGTTCTGGTAAGTACTATAGAAATTTGTACACGGGATTTCAAGTGTATCACAATTGTCGGGCCACATCATTTCAAGGTAATATTGTATAAAACGCTGGGGATTTGGGATACTTGCTTCGATTAACTCCTGTTTCATTTGAGTATCTGGAATAGTTCGGGGATTGAAGCTAGTTAAATTCTGGCTAAGTAAGTAAGACATAAAGGAGCCGACTGTATCTGGATTTTCTAACACTTTTATAAGAGAACCGAAGTATTCTCGATTGCCCTTATATTTGGCTGAGATGTTGAGAGCTACATATCTTTCATCTCCCATTTCTATACGAATTGGCATGGCATGATTACTGAGGATCATGTAGCCAGCAAAGTCATCAATGACCTTCACATCTATTTCCTTTTCCTCGATACAGATGTAAGGCTCGGTGATTAAACTTTTGAGTCGGTTATTTGCTCCATGCCATTCCTTGCCTGACATGTCACATTCGTTGAGGATAATGAGTTTTTTGGCACGAACAGCTGCATTGAACCTTCCTATTACATCTTCAAGACTGGTAGTAGAGAAGAAGTTTTCACGGCCAAGAATATGTTCTCTGATAAAATCGGTTAAGATATTCTTACCACATCTGGGGGGACTGCGCATGATAATTGCTATACCAGGTTTTTTGTCTGGATTTTGAACCAGAAATGCGAGCCAGTTGAGGATGTATGTGGTTAACTGCTTGTCCTCTGCACACCATACCTCATGAACGTGTCGGATGATTGGATTAACTAGGTTTGATTTGATGTGCTCAGCGGGTTGGGCCCTGAAACCTAGGAAGAGATTGAAGAATTCAGGATTATACTTTGGTGCGTTTGGGGGATAAGGCATGAAGTTTACATCTTTATAACAGATCTTTGCGATTGAGGCTTGGAGAAGAAGATCCTTTAATTTGGTGGATGTGGTCGCGTCACTGTCTTCTCCGGTATCTGACCGAATAATTACCTTCACTGGTAAAAAAATGGTCTGTCCTACACATATTCTTCACATATCTTACATATATCGAGTACTCAAAATGTAGAAAATCATACACAAATAATACACATATCATATACATATTGAATACTTATATATATAGTATACCTATCAGATATCTGATATATGTATGAT